TTTATTATTTGTATAAGTTTCCTAAATGCGGACATATGATTGTTAAATTAATAACACAATAGCACATAATTTAATACAGTTTTATCATCTAATATGCTAATACAATATAATGTATTTTTAAATAAACATTGAACGTAAAGAATTAAATTAAAGAAACATGAACTAGATTTCATTTAATCAGCAGTTAATTCATATTATTTAAATATTAAATGTTAATAAATTTTTATTTTTATTTTTATTTTTAGTAAATTACGAAATACAACGAATCTTGTTATTCAAACGTTATGTCGTTGTCCCTCCACCTTATTAAATTAGCTTACTTTCTATACACCATAGCTCAGAAAAATTTTAATAACTGTGCTACGTAAACTTCACGAATAATTGTATACGCTCGTTACACGTATAAGCCATGCATTTGCATGGACACGAATGTAATCGTCAAGCTCGTAAATGGTATGACGCGAGTCATGACGTTTAACGTTCATCTTGCCCAAACACCCAATGAATTTTTCGTTTGAATAATATTCGTTCTTATTTCTGATGAATCGCAAAAACGTTCATCGATATCAGTGCATTGCATGCCAAATTGATGATGGACATTGTGAATTAAAAACGATTTCGCTTGTTGATAACGCAAATAATAGTGTTGATGCCTTTTATTCGAATTTATAACGTAATGTAGACACTTTATTCAACCTGCCTAAGACTTCGGTATCGTTTCAAGAACAATGGAACGATTTTTAATGAAGCATCCGTATAAGTAAAAACAAGAATAATATTTAATCGTTCAATCATAGCGAAAATTACATAAATACGAGTATTTATACAACGTCCTTGAATATATTTATTTTACAGCGTTTTATTATAACTCCGAATAAAGGATTGTAATATTGTATCTTGATTAAAACTTGGCTATAGTTATATTATCCATACTTTTCAAATTAGCAGCATTAAAAACTTCTGTACGCTATTTTATAGCATTAATCTTATTTTATTATAAAAATTATCATAAAATATTTTGCCGAAAATTTCAATCGCTAACATCATCTTCATGGTTAAGCATGAAAGATAAATTACACTGTTTCATGTATACAGATTAACTTTATATACAGAAACATTTTGTTTCTCAAAACATTTTAAATCCATCGCTTTTCGACACTATACTTACATTTAATATCACAAATGCACTTAAGATGCGTGTTTTCTAACATTGCGTATAATTATGGTTAAAGCATAAATCTCCTTCTAAAATTGTAAAACTTCTACATAAACATACAAAATTCTTTCTAATTTTTAAAATTATCCTAAATATATAATTGAAGCCTAAAAGGCATAACTTAATTAAAATTAATTTTTACATTTACCAAACATTGGCACTATCACCAAGTAGTTTTCGTCTTCGGCCTAATTATTTTACGTGATCCATTTCCATATATCAAACTGCATCCATTATCCGAAGTCAATTACTCGAAGGCACTAGTTTTCTAGATTTCTAAAAGTACCAGCATAGCCTCTGCATATTTATAAAGCATTAATAACATCCAGTGCCCGTTCTTTCGCGGTAAAAAAAGCTCGCTCAAATCGCATAAGAGTGCGTTATGCTTTGGCTTGAAACTCGCGCCAGTATATTTATCGACATGTTGCGGGCTTTAAATTTAAACCCGTAATACACTTACGACCCGAATGTGAATTCGCACGGAAGATTTGCTTGCGCTCCGATTACTTCAGCGAAAAAGAAAAAAAATCGAGTCGCCGTCTAAACGATACCTTCACTCATATTTTTCCCCTGACACCCCTTTATTGCTCAAAGGACGTGTCTTCCTCTTATTCTTACGCTTGAGCCTTGCTTAGCCCTTCTCGTAACATCACATGGAGTAAGTACCACAACAAGAATATTAGATAAAAGAAAAAAAATCACGAAAATTAATAATAACTCCTAGTAAGTCATCTTGACATTTATTACTTACATTTAGACTATATATAACAGAGATATTAATTGAAAGAATAAAACAAATATTTAATACTCAAAGATATGTCTCAATTAATGGTATCTGAGAAGAAAAAAACGATTATATTTACTTCTTATTAAGATTTTAAATTACAACGCGATTATATAATCCACCTTAAACGGTAATATATCAATTTTTAAGCAAACAGATTAAATAAAAAATGAATTCAAGAATATTAAAATAATGATTAAAGTTACTAAATGAAAATAGAGTGTATAAAATAAAACAATTAAATGAAGTTCAAGCTCTATTTTATAGAGATATATATTAGATAGAGGTATACAAGATTGCACGTTTCATGAAATTATTAAATTTTTAATTTGGATCTAAAAGCAATGAGGAATTTAAATAGCAAAAACGGTTTCTGATTGAGGTGCGAAGGCAATAATAATATTCGTGTCACGTGATTTAGAGAAATAGAATACGTCTGCCTAGTACGCGCAGGCTATAACATTTAAAAAAATTAATTTTTCTTTAATGTATTTTTACTTAGTAATGAAATATCTATACTAAATGTGTATTAATCTTATACAATTGAATTAATCCAAATTTATGAAAACCACTCGTCATTGAGTATGCGATGCTTATATACAGTAGTATACAATAACTTAATCCATAATAAGTATTTTAAAAATTTGGAAAACATAGATTAAATTGTAATAAATAAAAATATTTTGTTTCTTTTTTAAATAGCAGTAGGAATTTATCTTATTTAAAATGTTAATAATTATATTACTTCTGTATTTCATTGATATTAGTTGTTAAATATCGACTAAGTACTAACAAAATACCAGTTTTTTTTAATTTTATGCAATAAAACACTATCAATTTTGTTTTTGTCATAAGTATTTTCCAGAATATGAAAAATTCATAAATTTTAATATGCCTATAATACATTCTTATAAGACTAACCATTTAAAATTGAACTTATTTTGGTAAAACAAATTATTAATTTTAAAAAATTAAAGAAAATTCAATTAATTAAGTAATGGAGATACTAATTATCTAGCAACGTACATTTTTAGGAATCCTTAAACCGATAGATTATAAACTGATATATTTATATATCAATGTAAAAAAATATAACGTTTAAAGGTTGCAAAATAAATATTTCAAATATATTGCATACATTGTAAAGAATTATGAAGTTTGTCTAACTGCTAAAATATTATTAAAATATTATTAAAATACAACTAACATTTAATGTTTACACCCTTCTATTCTTGATTATTTCTATCAATTTCTTTTCGTTATAATATTTTTAGGTTAAAAACCAAACATAAATACGTCTGTTTTTGGTAGCATGTAAACAAATTAGAATTAGCTATAAAAAGAGCTTTTTATTAAATTGGAAACAGTAGCACTTTAATTAAGAAATAAACTTTTTGTTTTAAGAGAATTATTTCAAGATTCATTATTTAAAATACAAAATTAATTTATCATTTAAATATATAACAAATATAAATTGATTTTAAAACGGAATTTCTTAACGAAGATTGTTTATACAAATTAATCTATTAGCATAAATCATCCAAAATATTTTTAATATATTATTTCAAACATATAAAATGAGGTATACATATAAAAACACTAAATTTTATCACTTTGTTCTAATTCACATTAATTCTAAAATATTTCGAATAAATTTGTTTCTTTTTTATTTTAGAAACAATATGAATTTTATTATTCAGCTAATTAAAATCACACTAGTGAATAGTTAATTATATATGCTCATTTTTCATAATTGATGAATTGATTTACAAAATAATTTACAAGATAAGAATTAAAAATCAATATTGTCACACAATTGTATGTACAACTGTAAATTATTCCAGTTTTACAGTACGATGTATTTAGAGTTTCAATTAAAAATTATTTATTCTATATTGTGACGTTGGGCACAGTACAGACGGAAGATTGTTACTATTCATTCAGAAGCATTAGCGTTATCTTGAATAACAAAAATGGAATAACGATAAAACGATAAATTAGTCATCAATAGTATATCATTTATAATTTTTAAGCTTAATTCTAATTTTATTATTGTTAATTAGTTTATGTGAATATGCCTGCTCTCTATGAATAATTGATTATACTTTATAAGTAATATCATAAATTACTAATTTTATTTTAAGTAAACGTAGCATACATCGATTGCAACTTGTAATTCTTCTAAAACAAACTGTTGCGCTATCATAGCAAAAATAATAAGTTGCTTCAATTGCAAGTGCAATTTCAATCAAAGTGATTCTCTTAACATATTGTCCAGTTTCATGCACTTTCGTTTTACACTGACACAAACATACGAGTTATGATCTACGTAACAATTATTTTTGACAGTCAAAATTTTTTATTTACATTACATGACAAGACAATTAATCCTTAATACTACGCAACTCTCAAATTAAAAGATAAAATTGAGTTTAGATTTACAAAAATTTTTACTGGAAAATATCTGATAATATACTCAAAAACTTCCTATTCGTTAAAAAATACCTAATATGCGAATGATTATACTCTTCAATATATTCGTTTTCTTGTGCATGTTATTAAACGAAATTTAGTTTGATAAAAAAGTTTCAGAAAACATAAAACTCTAATTACCAATATTCTTTTAAAAAGAATTATAGAGCAAATTTTCAATTAATCTCAGATTAAATACAAAATTAAGTTTGATTAAAAAGCTAAAAATTAAAGTGGGCGGATAACGATGTTACTAGTGAGAGATTTTACTTCGAGATTTAACCAAATTAAATATTGACAACAAATTTTAAATTGAAAATAATGGAGAAATTTTATTTGATTCTACGTGAAAACATTAGACAGGACATAAAGTTATAAATCAGTGCTTCAAATTTCTACGCGACTATTAAATGCTAAAATGAAAACAAACATTAATCAGCAACAGTACCGGGCCTTTTTTACCATCTTCGTCAGATATTAAAGTATCCCTTTTTCAAAATCTTATAAAATTAAAAGTAACAGACATACCTTGCCCTGCATGATGAGACGAATAGTCAGGGTAACCGACGGGTCGTCATTAAGCACGGGTTTGATGTCCATGCCGTCCATTGTCAAAACCTACTTTTTCAGCTCGGGGCTCACGAATTAATATCTCACAATTGTTGACGTCACTTGATGCACGTGGGGAGGCGGGACCAAGGAGGCGAAACAGGACACTGGTCAGATGTGCGAAGTTGGCCCAGGAATTTGGATGGGAAGATTCCTGATTAGTTGACTTCCTAGTACTGCTTTTTATGTCTGCCGAGAAAGTAAACTGTTCACACTGAAACAGATAAACATCGCATATTATGATTTAAAATTACACTTTTTTCACTTAGAATTAACATTTAATCGTAAAGTTTTAAGCGCCTGTACGATTCAAACACTATCTTCTTTTTATCAAAAATATGAATTCTTTGATTCAACAAAATTAATATATTCATAATTCAGTGTTAACAGTTTGTATTTCATGAGTTTAAAATAATAATTAGTTATTCGTCTCTATAAATAGATACTAATTTATTTTATCAAATCAATCACATTATCCAATAAAAATTAAAGGTTGATTAATATAAAATCTTTATTTATCTTTTAATTGATTATATTTTGTATATGGAAATTATTGCATAAACACATTCACACGTGGAATTGGATATTTATAAAAAAATCAAAATAACTATTAATAAAAGAATGTTAAAAAAAATATTGTAAGTAAAATTTTGGATTTTTCATAGTTATCAGTTTTGAAAAATAGCACGCATCAATAAATTTACGTTTTATTTCTGTAATTTTTAAAGAGTTATTAATTGTTACTTTTGCAATTACATTTAAAATAGAAAGACTTAATTTGCATATTTACAATAATATTAAAAATACGTGTATTATATATATATATATATATATATATATATATATATATTCTTTATAGATAGACAATAAAAGTAACCAAAACAGTAATCCATGTATTGATAAAACAAATAATTAAAAAAAGGTAAGTTTAAAAATGGTCTCGATTTAATTAAGCGTTAAGTCCAATAAAATCTACTACAAACGACAAAAACGTGTAGAAAGAGAGAATTAAAAAAAGATGAAATTGATAAAGCAAACACCTGTAATAGAAATACACTGATAAGTCTATCTAAACTACTTTTATTAAATTTTCAAAGTCTGAAAACGAAACCGCAATGCGAAAGATATTTATGAGTGTATTGAACAAGAAATGATAATGTTACTCTTGTTTTATTCTTACCAAACATGCAATACTATACTGATAATTATTATGTATTTATTAACTTAATTAGATAATTATCTAAGATGAAATTATATTATTTAAAACATCGAGTTGAGTGTAAGAAAATAGAGCATTCAACTTTAAAATTTAGGACTGAATTGTCTTTTAAATCAGAGAAATTTTCTATACGAAATAAATAAATTATGTACATCACATACAAATATTATAAGCTTCCATGTTCCACTTTTTAAAACTACATTTAAATCGAAAATTTATTGCATTAAACGACATCATAATTCAATGAATCCTTTTATAAATTTTTATAAATTTTGGTATTAAAATAATTTAAAAAAAAAACAAAATAAGAAACTGGAGATGAGATAATAGAATTATTTAAACATTCTTATCGACTTTTTCATTGTCTAAAATACATAAAAAAAATTCTATATTGAAATTTTTAAATTGTAAAATAAATTATAACAATCACTTAATTCATTAAAGTGCTAAAAATCTGAAAATATAAATAAATACAATATTGACCCAAATGGCAGACATTTTCTATTGCTGTACCTATGCTACCAAAGTAGCATTACTCATACTGATGCGTCCTAGCTAAAAAGTACTGTTTAATCCTATGATCATTTATTCTATTTTTGTAATTATTAATATTTTTCTACTAAACTTTTATTAATTACATAATCGAAAAAAGTGAGTAAAATATTGCAAAAATTTTATTATCATTCTTATTATTATAAATTTTGTTTATAATTTTAAGAAACTTTTTTATCCATTAAAATCTAGACATTTCCGATGATCGAACTATATGTTATGTTATTATAAAACTATAGCCATTGTATTTAATTATAAATTATTATATTATAAAATTCAACTTAAAAAAAAAAATTTTTTTTTAAACTAATAAAATTTATAAACGTTTCAGTGTATAAAAATCAAAAATCATTTGGGTAGAAGTTAATTTCAAACTAAATTATTGAACGTAAACAGATAGCCGAAATCAAACTATCAAAATTCAATTCATTTTGTATTTTATCGCTTTTTTACCAAATTTTATAAAAGTAATGTCAAAACAAATTTTGACATAAGATTTAATCATAATACAGTATTAAATTTAAATCATAATTAAGTAAACCTCTTTATTTAGTTATTCTTTTAAATTTAATTCTTAACTTATATTTCAATATGAATAAATGTATTCTGTCGATATAAACTATGTATATGAATAAATGTACTGAATGTAGTTTTAATCCTATTTAAAATAACAATTATAACATTGTTATTTTAATATAAAGAATAAATAAATTTAAATCTTATCAAAATTGATAATAATGATGTTATATTTCAATTTCAAAATTTTAAAGAAATGCGAATGGAACGCAAAAACATCATGACAATATACAATTGATTAACTTTATTATATCAGTAGTTGAACACGTAATATAAGAAAAGAATATAAGCCATATAAAAAAATTAACGAAGTTAATAAATTATATCATAAAGCTGTATTTATCTAAGTGAATCTGATGAATGCAATAGGAAAAAATGAAATAGAAAATTATTTCAGTCTCATCCTATTACCGATTTGTGCGCGAGAAGAAACGGCATCATTTTATTTTTTGCTAAACGAATTTATTGCAAAACAAAATATACTAAGAGCATAGAAAATTGGAAAATTTTTTATGAATGTTCATTAGTTGCTACTTTGATTTTATACGGCTGTCTGTTAGCATGATATCCTTTTCTCTTTAAGACATGGACTTTTGCGATTTTTCAAAATATGAAACTTCTAAACAAGTAACTCCATTTCAATTTGCAATTCTGTTTTTATGTCATATATAATATAGATAGCGTTGATTTCACAACTTTGCTAATATGCAATGTACAGTGTTTAATAAAGTTTGCAGTTACTAAAATCTTGTAAATACTAGCTTTTCATTCTTAATAATACAAACAAAATGAATAACAATGATAAAGATTAATTCAAGTACTTTCTCAAATCCTATTACTATACTAAGTGCCAATAAGAAGAATATAAATCAGGTATTTTAATTAATTTTAAAATTATCTTAATTATTCTAAATTACAATTTTTTCATTTGGCAAATACGATAACCTGAGAATTATAAATTTCATTGAACAATAAAATAACAATAAACTTAAAAGTATTCGAACAGTGTACTATTTACCATTATTTCGACAAGAGCCCAAACAATTAAGTATACAAAATTCGAAACTTCATATCATAACGATTATTATCAATTATTTAGTTATTAGATGCAAACATTACATAAATATAAAAAATAAAAATCGAAATTTTAAGCAAACCAGTTTATCAATCAGCTTCAACGTAATCAATGAGAAAGCACGGTCCTGAATGTTTTGAACGTAGAATCATAGTCTTTTTTAATCATCCACAAATGTGTCTTCCTAGACTGCTTTTCTCACGATTACACATTACGAGTTACGTCTGTTTTTGCCTGCGGGAGTCGAGCGTTTGTTCAACATCTGGTAAAGTCACAAGGCGACAAAAACCAAGTCAGCAATGATTCTTACATAACTGACTGTTAGGCATGAGGGTGAAAAACTCGCATTTCTTCATTTTTCGTTTTTCATTCATTCGAAATAAACGTCAAAAATGTTTTAAATAGAAAAATAAAGAATGAGACAATTTCATCTGTAAAGCTTCTTCTGGCTAGCATCGTGAATATAGTGGCATTCTTGCGAAGTTTTAATATTCGTTTTCTTCTTTGAAATGTAACATTAATAACGTAATATAATAATTTCAAAAAATTTTATTGACAATAATACAGCAAAAATTCAGTTTTAAAATCAGACAAAAACTTGAGTTATGTCAAAAAATGTTTTCCCTCTTACTACTTGTAGTATTAAAATTTATCTTAATATAGTGATATCAAAAAAAGTTCAAAAAACAAGTTTCTAATACCTTATAAAATATATTTGAATGTAATATTACAAGTATTAAGATACAACCGAATAAATATATCCTGATGTGAAATAAGCTTTATATAATCTATAATATAAAACCACTTATTATTACTTAATGACTTATTATCACATTAATTATTTCATGTAATTTGGGATAAAATATCAATTTACTAAAATAAAACAACTTGTTTCTTTAATGCAAATTGTACTTATCTAAATACTGATTAAGATTTGACAATATTCTGCCCTTGATAATCTTTTCGTTTTCTTATATTTTTAGCAATATAATTAATTACTTTACATTCGCAAAGTTAGAAAAATAGCATGTCGATTTATTTAACATTGCTGAATTGATAAGAAGATTAGCTAATAAATAAGTCCAACGAAAATAAAATTTTTATCAATATTATTCGACATAATTCTAAATATTGTTTACATATTTTTATTATAAAATGTATTTATTTAGGAGATAATTAAGATTAGATAATTGTTTAATTGGTATATTTTATTAAAAAATCAGGTAATATTTCAGTTAAAAAATGTAATATGATAAAGATTGAATTCGATTTAAGATTCAATTCGATTGCACTCGATCAATATTAAAACATTGGACACAAAGGTTATCGACAATAGCTTCGATAATAGATAATATAATCGATAATAGATAATTACGTCCTAACTTGTTTCGTAAAATAAGTTCCGGTTATCATCTCGTGCGCGCGATATTAAAAGGAGCATTTATGCATACACGTGATTGGTAGATAACGGTCGCAACAGGAAACATGGGAATGACAAAAAAGCGACCAGACGTGAGCTCGCGTTTTTCTCGCTGTCGCTCGCATTACGGCTTTAGCGAGTGCACTGCCTGTGAGTATGACCTCCCCGTTACACGACGGTAGAGGAGACAACCGACCGGTTTCCCGTCGCTTTTCCCTTATGTCAATAACTGCCGTCCGTCGTTCTTGATTACTTCGTAACTGGAGAGAACTGGGTACGATAAATCAATGTCCATAAAGTGGATCTCGACGTCGATTTAGTGGGCGGCCGCGCATACTTGATATCAGGAATCCACGACAAACCAAAGTATTACTAAAATGCTTTTGCTCTGTAATGCGTCCTAATCCTACTTTTATTGGGTTCTTTTTTAATTTTTGTTACATATATATATTTTATTTTTTAATGCCTAGGCTTGAGAAGTATGAGTAGCAACAATGGTAGAACTCTTTTATGTTTTTTTAAAATCCATGCGAGTGAAATAATATGAATGGCGCATTTAATGAAAATTTTCTCTTCGATTCACTGGTCTAAGGAAATTTTACTTTCTCCAAAAAAATATTAAAATGATTCCTTGCCAACCTATTATAAATATCTATTGTTAATTTTCATAGTATATTCTTTCTCAACAAGCACTATGAACTATTTTAGAATATAATATAATAAATATTAAATTACATCTTTTAATTTTATATTAAAATGACAAATCTTGAAGAAATATATGAATCGAAAATACGCCAAGATATTGAACTTTATTATTTTTATGTTTAGTAGTTAATAAGATACTTATAAGAGTAGAGATAGTAATTAACAAGAGATAGTAATAACTGATATAAAATATAAGGATATGTCTGCTCATACTATGGTGTAAAATAGAATTCGCTGGACAAAATTGCAATAGTTACTCAAAATTATGCTACATGTAAAAATTACAAATTATGGGCACCCGTCTTGTGCACTTGTTTTTCTTTGTAAGCTTAGCAAACAACCATTGTTAATATTGCTTCATTGACTCTTCGAGATAGCTCGCCTTTTTTTCTCACTGCCGAATGTCTTTTTCATTTAATACGGATGGAAGGAACGCCGTATGCGAAATTGAGAAAGATCAAACCGAGGTGGGCCGCGCAGCCAGACGCGACGAAACAATCAATACGCGGGCAGCCGATCACTTTTGGTTTTACAAATAGAAGTTTTACTGATGCTGCTAATGATATTCTTTCAATAATCTTTTATTTATTCGTGCACTTTTGGGCCCTGTTCCACTTCCAGATTACATAATGAATGCAGGCAAAACCATACGGCCTGAATCACTTGTAATATCGGATGATTCGTTGAGTGTTACGTGAATCAAAATAATGATTGACAACTGGAAAGATTTTAAGCTTTGCAAATATTTTTTTATAAATATGCAATTTGAACTTTGAAAAAATCTTTCAATTCCACTCTCATTGTTTCTCCCTTGCTATGCACGTGCGTGCGTATAAATGGAAATAATATCTGAATTATAATTGAAAAAATATCAATCCTGGTAATCCTAGAACATGTCCTAAAACTGTTCATAAAATTTTAGGATATTTATATGCAATCATTTGTAGCGAATATATTAATTTTATATATCTGTTTTAATTATAAATCCATAATTAATATTTAAATATATCTGTGTTATTATAGCTACAGTATCTGTTTATTTTCTGCAGTATTTTAAAAAATTTTATTTGTAAAAATTTTAAAGTACAAAGTTGGCATCTGCATGTCTTTTTGTCCAATATTTTAATTAAATAAAGATAATTAATTCATCTTATTGTATAAATTTCATCGCATTAAGTGCTTAATTACTTCTATCCAAATGTTATATTCATTTATATAATTTCAGCAACTTGTAGAATCTTACTTGTAATTTAGTTATTAATGCTGTTATAAATAATAAAAATTAATACCTATTTTACTCTTGAATATAAAAATTTAAATACAGTTTTTGAAAATATATTCAACATTCAATTGTAAGGAACAAAAACAAGAAGAACCTAAAATTCATTCGCTTTTTGTTTAGTTTCCAAAAGCTTTCTTGCTATTTTTTTTCATAATATGCTCTTAAAAATTGAAGTAGTTTATTACATTATTATGTTCCTTATCAATGTTATAAATAATTTCATCAGAAAACATTAATAATATAATCTTCGATTTCATAAATAGATTTTTACTTTAAAAATCGTTTGCTTAACACATCACGATTAATCAACTTCATATATCTGATAAATTAATTATAACTTACTAAATAAAACACTTTTCATTGAACAAAGGAAATTCATTTTCGGCACGGTAGAAAGTGAAAAAGTATTGTAATAAAGGTAATATCCCTGAAATAGATTAGAAATAAACAAATATGGTTCTTTTCTTAAACTACGAAAATTTTATCATTTTATTATCATTTTTATCATTTATATTTTTATTTGTATCACTTATATTTTTATCATTTTACATGGTCTTGTGAATGCATATAGTGAATAAATTCATTTTGGAAATTAGACGCAGTGACTGTAGTACCTATACCATATACTATAATTAGCTTGATTTCAATATAAAAAAGAACGTAGATTACATTATTACCCAATTAAATAATGAAAAGAAAAAAATTATGCTTGTACAGTTTCAATTTTTTATAAAATTCTGCTTTAACTGTAATGATGCATATCAAGCAATTAATAATTAATGTCAATTAAAATTGAGAATCTAATTTAAAATTGGCTATACAAATTAAAAACTAGAGCAACGCAGAAAAATGTTTACACCTGTAATTGCATGGGCGTATTAGAGCAAACGAAACAAAATATTTATCTGAATTATTAAGCTCATTTCTCGCATAATTCAAACGCACTCACAAAGATTTAAACACGTACGAAGTTGTTTTCCTCATTTCTAATTATTATTCCCATTCTTATTCCATCGCATCACGTACAGAATTTTAAAATGAACTTTCATGCACATCTTGAGTAGGCGGCCAGCGATTGCATTATTACGCATTTTTAAAACAATGATTTTTCGTCCACTGACGCCAATACGCGCATACGGCCAAAACTCAAAACTCCAGTCGCAATCTCGTATATTCTTCGGCCATTTTCTATCTCTCAATCATACCGTGTATTCTTGTGGCAGACAACATAGGCAACGATATAATCTTATATAAAGAAAAATGTATTCGTTCATGCAATTGGGACCGACAATTCGAAAATGGTATATCAAAGAGAAACCGAGTAACGACTGCTGGATCAGTGAACGCGTGTCGTCCTTTCCGCACACTCGATAAACTCTCGCATGGCCGTAATTCTGGCAACACTGTAAATACCTGCGTTTTTGCTCCTTTTTATTATTTTGCAGCTGTGAAACAATTCGTAGTCGTACCAGCGTCATCGAGCCTCGCGTGACTGCTTTTTTTTGAGGTTAATACAAAGACCCACAGGTTCATGAAGCGCACGTTCACGAACTACCGTGCACATATGTGCGCGTGAGAAAAATGCAGCAATTCCTTATCCGTGCATTAACTATCTTACTCTCTCACACACGTACAAATTCTCTTTCTCTCTCGCTCGCTGATTCGTTCTCTCGTCAAACCCCAATCAATAGCTCAAGTCTCGACATTTCATAGCTTGCGAGTATCTCGCCTATCTTTATCCCTGACCCCTAGATATTCTAATAAAGGGCCTAAACTTTAAATATACAAAGCTACGAAGAAGATTAATACAAACTTTGTTTTCCTTTTTCTCACCCCCCTTTTCAGTCAGTCTATCAGTCTGTTTCTTTCTCTCTTTCTTTCTCTCTCTCTCTCTCTCTCTCTCTCTCTCTCCCTCTCTCTCTCTCTCTAAGCATTGAACGTACCGGAAGTCGCTACTAGTCCACCTAACCTAAAAGCGGACCTTCAACGAATGGGTCCCTCTCCCCCCGCAGCCCGCCGCCGGCGTGGCGTTCAACGCATGATGGCGGTGGCCCTGCGCGCAACCGGCGGCGTTGCTCTGATTATCGCATGCTACTACTCGCTCTACAGTTACCTAAACTGGCGGCTCGAGGGTCATTGACGATGGCTGTTGCCGTTATTGTTGGTGATCTCTTCTTCCTGCACCAACCTCATCGACACTTTTCTCCGTCTCGGCCAACAAACAAAAATACACCTTCCTCCACGGACCGTGTCTACAATTTGTACTTGCGGATTCACAATTCAACGCGGCGGCGACACTGACTATTACTTTTTAACAATCTACTTCTGTCTCTCTTTTTCACTTGCTGGCAGTCTGTGGAGGAGGCAAGGACGAGCGACACAAAGTAACACAACGGTTACAGCACGGGTTAGGTGCGTACTAACGAAAACGCGGGAGGACGAGACTACAGCGACGTACATAAGGTTCTCTGGCCGCACGTACGTCGATGCCGATTAGCTACCCCTCCAACCTCCCGCCATTGCACCCGTCGTCGCCGCCACCGCTTTTGACGCTACGGCGAACGAGAGGGGATGCGGACATCCACTACTGGATCAAGAAAGAGCGAAAGCGGAAAAGTGGGAGTAAGCGTCGACGCGCTTGCGCGGTGGTATGTGACCGTCAGTCAGACGAAAGTAAGACGCGTCGTCACGTCGCGTGATCAGCATTACGTCGCCTCTTTGCAAACTCTCATCCTCAACCTAATCAAATAGTCATGTTGGTCATACCTACCATCCCTAGCCTATCATGGAACATAAACGTTTCAATTTCTAACCGATTTAGCATATGTATTTGATTTACACCTCTACTTGTGACCATACACCTTAATTTTTAGTATTATTCGATAATAATGCCAAATTAGAAATTTGAAAATATATTAAAATATTTATAAAATTATATTTAAGGTTCTTATGAAATGTGTTTTAAACGTTTGCAGGATCAAATGAAATCGACAAGTCACAGAATAAATATAAATAAGCGATTATTTTAATTTATCTCATTAAATATAAGACTTTACTTTCAATGAATCGTCCACTAATTATAAATAACAATTTTTTTACGTATCATAAAATAGAACGATTACTTATTAAAGAATAACGAATATTGTATTAATACAGCAGATGATTTTTCTTAATTGATCATATTTTGCTTTGCAGAAAAGAATGTCATTTGAAATGCAATGATACATTGTATCATTGTATTTTAAACAAAAATAATTAAAAGTTTCAATATGCTAATAAATTTTCCTATTTAAATTATTTCGATTTTAATGATATGTAAATGTCATTTCAAAATGAATGCAAACATTTTTCATGATAATTCCATCGAGTCATTCCACAACAGCTTTCTAAAAGCATGTAATGAATTTCATGAAAAAAGTAAAAATCCATATTATACACAAACTTACAATAATTCTATTCATTTAATGACACTACTCGCTCACCGCACGTTTACAAACACACATGCAGGCACACGCACGCAATACTTACAAACTCGCTCGCTTGCGCACCCACTTTGTTCGCCTAATTAAAACAGAATTTCATTACTAACAGATGATAGGTTCAATCGACGTCAATTTACCGTAAGCCTAAGGTCATATATGATTAATTCACCATGGATCTGCTTCATTCCCCGCAGTCATTTGACGTACCGACCCCCACCCTTAACCAACTTGCCCATTTGCCCTTA